GTGGTTGCAACTGTGTTTGCACGTCGTCGTGAGTAAACTTTAGCGGCATGTAGCTGTGAATACTCATCGGCCTCTATTTCCTACAGCATGTCAACCATTTCCTCCTAGGTTTTTGTCGACCCCTCATTCTGGTCTTCATTTCTAGCAGTTGGTGACATGTTTGGATCATTAGTGACAAGTGTTCGACCGTTGAGGGATGATTGCATCGATTTGTAGCCAATTTTCCTTATTCAAATATAAAACAAAGAGTATGAACTAATAGAAAAATAATGAAGCATGGATAAAGATGATAAACAAAAATAATCATGAAGTTCATCTTACACTTATAAGCACTTCCCTGGTTGGTTGAGATTCAACTTCATCCAAAGGAGTATCTAACATATCATGTAAACACAAATAGATACATCAATTCCATAACTACAAAATATTTTTAAGTTTAGAAAAATGCTAATTTACTTACATCCAATACGGCATGTAACGTGGAATGATGTCATTTGTTGTGCCCATGCACACGACAAATGGAGCAAGTCATTGTTACTTGTCATTTTTTCCTGACATACGATCTCCCTTGCATGTTCACCACGACTTCCTCTGCATGTTTCCTTCTTTTTGTCTATCTTCGTTCTCTACCTGGAGTTGTCCAGTTTGGTAGCTTAATGGGTTCTAGATCGACTTCCACCCACATGCTTGGACCATTGATAGGGTTCAAGATGTTACCGTAGAAATGCAAGTACGTCTCAGTGGTGTAACAATTGTCAACATATTCTTCAGGGTCGTTCCTACAATATCATATGACTGCCATAGAGTGCAAGCAAGGTATCCCAATCAATTCTCAATGTCTGCAAGCACAATTTCTTTCCATGAGATCAACCACATATTTACCATAACTACAATCCACTTGCCATTTAGGACCCCCAGAAAAGTGTACTATGCACTCTCTCGATCTCTCAGCAATGGAGTGCACTTTTATTCTAATCTTAGGGCAAATTCAACCTTCATACGACTCATCTTATCTCGCCTCATTTGGATTCGCTTCATGAATGTCAACTGAATGGATGTAAGCATGTTCGGAAACAATTCTTTGACGACATTTTGCAGTCCCTTATGTCGACCATTCATCAAAATCCAGCCACTCTCGTTGCTAATATGAACATCACTTTCTAGATTAGTCATTAACCACCTCCATGCTAAAGTGTTCTCTTTCTGAACTACGACGTGCGCGATGGGATACATGTAATCATTTGCATCGTGACCAACAACGGTCAGCATTATTTCACTAAAACATCCCCGTAAATGGCATCCATCTACTCCGATAACCTTTCTACAACCATTGACAAAACTATCCTTGCATGCTTCAAAACATATATAGATGCCCTAGAAAACTTGATTGTCAGTTGCAATGTATACAGTTGAACCCGTGTTAGCCTATTAACCTCTGCAGCATAAGACCACAACTTACCAAACTGCTCATCAATTGTTCCATGCAACAGTTCCTTTGTATACCGTCTCATCTTCCATGCCACATTCTAAGTAATATCAGTCTTCAAGTCTTCTTTCACTGTCATAATTATACTATTAGTTTTCCAGTTTGGGTCCGCCTTGAAATGCTCAATGTAATAGTTAGTCAGGAAGACATAATTGTAGTGTTTATTTTACTAGTCTCGACTGCATGTGTGCTCCGGAGTTTAAGATTTAACTTGGAGACCGCTGTTATTCCCAACCTGGATGCTCATATCCTCCAACTACAATCTGATTTATATATTCCGTGCACTCGTTTCCTGTCGTTAGCCTTAAATCTAACATTATACACATTCAAGGCTCCATATGTTCTTACTGCCTTTCGAAATTCTACAACATCCCTAAAAGCTTACCAACAACGAATTCTGGATTAGTCATATCAACCTCCTCCAAAAACTGTGGAAATCGATACCCAACATTGTCGTTGGACTAACAATCGGACACAAGCTCTTCGGAGGACGTGTACTCCAAATCAGCAATTTGAGCATCGACTTCAACATCATGCTCATTCATACCCTCCGGTTCACCCACATGCGAACCTACCTCAATCCCATCCGTGACGTTATGTTCATACAAATTATCATCCCCTTCGGAGTCCAACTCGATTCTAGAATAATTGAAATCTAGGTCATCGGTGGTGTTGTCATCTATGTTAAAGAATTGGAAACATCAGAAAACAACCAAAGAAATCATCACATAAATCCAACATTGAAATTGGACGATACACTTCAAAAACTTGTAGCCCAAAATTAAAATAACCATAACTATGAAGCCAACATAAAGCCCATCAATTTCAATAACCATAACCATAAAGTTCAATAAACTTCCAATATTAGACAATGATGTGGCCAAAAAACAATGACATAATATTATACTTGTAGCCCACAACCATAAAGTCGGCAATCGTCGAACAAATCCATCACAAAATGACCTACATTGCCGATACCATACGCGAAAACAACCAGAAAAATAGAAAAAAAATTTGATTGTGGTTACCTTCTTGTGGTCCTTCCATGTGCCTATTCGTTAATTATTAAATATGTGGGGTCGATTGTGGGGGCAAAAATCCAAATTTGATGGTTAGAGTTCGTGAATAAATTTGGAACTATGAGTTGTGATTTGAAAGAGGTTTGCATAAAGCTTTGGGATATGGGTTTATGAGTTTAATGTTCGATGTTTTCTTCTTCTTCTTCTTCTTTTTTTTTTTTTTGAAGTGTAAATTGTTTTCCATTAATGACAAAATCATGCCCAACAACCTAATTGAAAACTTTTTGACTTTCATTTCATTTTCGTATTTTTTTTAAATAACTTAAAATGTGATTTGGATATTTTTATTAAGTGGCGCTCCATTAATCGCCTTGCAAGATTATCATCCTCTATGTCAGCAAAAGATTTAAGGGATTTTAATGAGTGATGGATGTAGTACAAACGTGATAAGTTCAGTGACTAAGTTGAAGCAATTTGAAGTTCAGTGAGTAATTCGTGATCAATGTACAACTTCGGTGATTTTTCACCATTTCACCATCAATTTTTCAATTTTTTTTACCACTTCTTGGCTCGCAAAGAAATGTAGCATTTATGCCTTGTTTGATTGAGGAAAAGTTCCCTGGAAAATGGAAAAGAAATTTCATTTTCATTCAAATTTCATGTTTGATTGGACAAATGTTATTGACGATTCAATTTTCATGTTATGCCCCATACGTAGGGGTGGGCAAAATTCGACGGAACCAGCCAAAATCGTCCAAATCGAACCAACCCGACAAGTTTGTGTTGGTTTTTTTTTTGTTGTTTTTATATAGGTTGGATGAGTTGGTTGTGTAAGCGGGTCGGGTTAGATTATGGGTTAATTCATAAAAATCAAATAAACACGTCCAACCCAACCCAACTATATTTATGAACTTTACAATTGTTATGATGTTGCATGGAAACTTCTAGAATAATATTACAAGACTTCAATAGAATACATTTTACAAAAAATATTATAAGCAAATATATAATCAACACAAAAATATTTTAATTGCCAAAAATATTTCTTGACTTCATATAATTTAATATCAATCTATCCATGTAACATTTCCTGGCATGAAGTGTCAAAATAATTCAATTTTTTTTGTTTATTGCAACTATGAAGACCAAATATCATATAAGTTTTGAGTCAATTATAAATCCGTCCAACTCGATCCTCTTATTTTAGTTTTTGTTGACAAGTTGTCCCAACTTGACGAACTCAACCCAACCTAACCAATACTTGATTGGGTTGGGTTGGGTTGGGTTGGGTTTCAACCTTTACACTGGTTGACTTTGGTTATATTATGATCAAACCGATCATGTTGGGTTGGGTTTGGGTTAAGGTAAAAACCAACCCAACCTATGCCCACCCCTACCCACACGTGCCAAATTCTTGGTTTTTGAGGAATTTCTTTTCCCATGGTTTTGGTGGGAAAATGGTTTCCATCTTCTTTTTTTTTAGCAATGGAAAAAAATTCTATCCAAAATTGTAAATTTTTTTTCCTTTAATAGACAATTTTCATGGAAAACAAAATCAAACGAATATCAAAAGATCCAAAATTTCAACATTTTTCAGGTGAAAAATTATACAAATCAAACACAATTAATTAACAATTCTCAATAAAATGAATTCTAGATAGAGTAATATTATTCATTCTCAGTGAAATTACAAACACAGTCTCGATGGCTCTAAATGATAGGTTAAATGAAATGTAAAATTAAATGACTTATTAAATTTCACCTATTATTTAATGTCACATTAACGTCACGTAAACTGTGTTTGTAATTAGTGAGGATGAATATCATTACTCTTCTAGATAATTCAATTACTTTAATGCCATGTTTGATAGGCAATCTTCTCCATGGAAGATGGAAAATTTTCACCATTTTCCAACTTTTTTGCTGTTTGATAGGGTATATTTTCCAGGCAAAATATTTTTCATTTTAACATCACGTGACCCTCTTTTCCACAGAATCCTTGAATTGATTTTCTCATGTTTCATCTGGTTTTTTATTTTCTTGGCAAGCTGGAATTGCAACCAAAATCATCCACTCCATCGGCACCTTCAACTCCAAATTCATCCACCATGCCGTTGGATAAACCATCGGATTTCCACACCGTCAACATGTCCTCATCCCACTCTTCAATTCCATACCAAGAATCATACATAACAGCTCCGAAATTAGACAAAATTCAGGCTCAAAATAAGTCTTCACGCACGGTTTCAACACCAATTCCGGCCAACCCTCCAACACCGACGGTCATACTCCATTACAAGCCCTAATACTCGTCAATGTGAGCAGTTTCATGCTCCCATATCACCAAGAAACGTTTAAAATCAGGCTCAATTCCGTACCACTTCGATTGCAGCGAACCACGCACATTGCAACCCGAATTCCAGCGCCGGCGTTCAGAACCACGGCCTCGTACCACCACCATTATCTCCTCCTCATTAGGCGGACAACATACATATATGGGTCTTCGTCAATTTAGCTCGAATCGTACTAGCCAATCCTTTTTGCTATGCTCCACCAACAGTACATTGCAACCCCTGTTGAGGAATGTTGGAGCTGCAGTAGCAATTGCTACCCCTGCTGGTGGCGCTGGTACTGGTAAGGAGAAGATGGGAGGCATTGGGAGCCCAAGAGAAAGGAAGAAGATGAGAGACCAGGTGAAATGGAGAAGACGGAGGAGATGAGGATATGATGGGCCTCTGTTTTTGTATTAGAAGGGCATTCAATTTTGTCAATTTCAGTTTTTTTTTTTCTTTTTTTGCAATTGAAACAAATTCTATTCCAATTGTAACAAATTTTATTCCTTTAATCGATAATTTTCATGAAAAACAACGCTAAACAAACACAAAAAATCCAAAATTTTAATATTTTTCAGGTGAAAAATTATACCAATCAAAAACACTTAATTGACAATTCCCAGCAAAATGATTTCTAGGCAAAACATTTTCACTTAAATACATTTTCTTTCCACCCATTTTCTAACCTTACAATCAAACGCACCCTTAAATTCATTTTCTTTCCATCAAATAGATTTTGATGGATTTTTAATTTTAGTAGGAACAAAAAAGGAAAGGAGAATAGTAAAAACAAATTTTCTTGCCCTTTGTTTAATGCATCCCAGAGATCTGTTTTAAGAAATAATAAAAAGAAAGAAATTGTGGGCAGTTCTGTTTTCTGGGATATTCGATTTTTTTCTGGTAGATCGATACAGGAGGGAAAGATGAATATATTTAGATTAGCAGGGGACATGACCCATTTGGCGAGCGTCCTTGTTTTGCTCCTCAAGATCCATACCATCAAATCCTGTGCTGGTACGCATTTCTATATACTTCCCGTTCCCAAAACCTTCATATGTATACATCTATATATTCGTGAAATTAAGAACTTGTACGGTGCTGAATCTTGAATCGCATTGTTTTTCTAATTGGGAAAAATTCGTTTTTGGTAATTTCAGTCGTTTTTTTTTTTGAGTTGATGTAACTGGTTTTTGGAAAACTTTTCGTGGGATTGCTTCAAATATGTTAATGCTTCTGTGTATTGCAGCTACTTGAGGTAAATAGTATGGATTTGTTTGGGCGCTAAGAGCTGTTGCCCTAGCTAGCTAATTTATTTGGGATGATTATTGATCTATATTAACTAATTTGGTTTAAGAAAGAGCATTGGGAATATAGTGAGAAAGATGGCTAGTTATCAGGATGTTGAGCCTGCTGAGAATCTTTTGGAGAATGAAATTGAAGTGAAATTTTCTAAAGCTAGAAGTAGTTTAATGACGGATATTTGGCGCACAATAATTGTATAGGCAGACTTGATACAGTTTCGAGAAACCGAAGTGTCAAGGAACTGGCAAAGGCTATGTTTTTATATATTTGTTTATTATGTGACCTTCAAACTCAGTCACGTTTCTCATGTGATAACCATTTCTTTTTTGGATCTTATTTCAGTTGTCTCCTCTTTTCAAAAAAATTTTGTTGCCCTTGTTGGTTCTGGGAATTCACTTTATAATTCAGTGATTTACTTTTGAATTATCAAAACACTTCTTGAAGATATATAATTACTGTTCTCTTTGTTATATTGAATCCTAAATTTGGAACTAGCTTCATTTTCTATGTTGCTTAACAATTTGCTGGAGATTTCTCAAATTGATTGAATTATTATATGACACTGCTCTTGAACTGGGTTGAAATGCTTACCACGATATCCAATGTGGAATAAAATATCATTAATGTTCTATGGTTCTATCTTTGGTCACTATTTTCGGTGATTCGAGGGAGACATGGACAAGAGAAAATAATATGGTGAAACTCTAGAGATTGGTCAATGCACCTTTAATACTTGAGAATATAAGTCCAATATCATGTCCAAACATGTTTCTTGACTAAACATAAGTACGTGTCATTTTGTGCACTTTCAAGACTTGTCTTCATTTGGATGGGAGATGAACGAGAATATAGTTGCCTAAACTCAATCAGATGTCTATGGACACATAATTTGCAGTTAGTCATGTACTAGATTTCTAGTACAAGTGTCTTGTTTTAGCATGATTTTGGTTTAAGATTCATTTCCCTTGGCAATTGGCATGTCTAATTTGTGGTGGGTTTCTGAATGATGCTCATGAATTTCAACTCTTTTCAACATAGACATTCAAGTCCTCAGCGTGATACATGCACGCTCACTGAAAATATTATATTTCATAAAATCAACGTAAGACCTGCTACATACTCTGTCAGTCTAGAATCTACAGAATGTCTTTCAGTCTGATCTGTTCTGATCTAGAAATCTACTAAATAACCTAGAATTGCTCTCTTGCGCACTGTTGACTCGGTCAGGAGACACTTCAAAGATGTATGTTTTCAGGTCCTGCCTGATCATAATGTTTCTGAAGAATCTGTTCTAAAAGAGTTGGATCCTTGTGTGTCTGAATGTGTTTCCTATTTTACACCTAAGAAAGTGGAAATCTAAATTCTGGTAAGAGTTTTTCGGTACTAATAAGTTGTTTTCCATGTAGAAGTAATCTGATCAGCTGTGTATTGTTTCTGCTGATTTTTGGAAGCGTACTTAGGCATCTAAAATTGAAAAATGTTGGGAAATAGGCAACTGAATTATTGTGGTATCGGGGATACTTTTACTTCGAATAAAATGCGTTGTATAAATTATTCGTCTTACTCATCTTTCGGGGTGCTTTAAATATGTTTTTACTCTTTTTGTTACTATTGATTTTATGTGCCTCTTGTGAATATTGAAGTAAGAAGTTGTATGATGAAATTATCTTTACGTAATTGAGAGTTGCATCAAAATTATATCAATGCCTGCATCATTTGATGTTCACTTCCTCTCTTATATGCAGGCATTTCTCTGAAGACTCAGGAACTCTATGCTCTTGTCTTTGCTACACGCTACTTGGATCTTTTTACCGACTACATTTCGCTCTATAATACTCTAATGAAATTAATTTTCTTGGGGAGCTCTTTCTCAATTGTCTGGTATATAAGGCATCACAAGATCGTCCGCAGATCTTATGACAAAGACCAGGACACGTTTCGCCACTATTTCCTTGTGCTGCCGTGTTTTCTATTGGCCCTAGTCATAAACGAGAAATTTACTGTCAAAGAGGTACTAGGCGTCCTCATTGTTGTACATGGCTAATTACTTGTGGAAAATAACTTAGCTCCTCCAAATTATGAAAGTGAATTATTACTTTGTATAATATTCTTTGCAGAAAGCAGCAGTCTTGCCTGTTCTTCTTGTTTTATTACTTACCTTTGTACTTCTGGCTTATTTGAGTGATCAGATAATGTGGACATTCTCCTTGTACTTGGAAGCTGTAGCCATCCTTCCTCAGCTGGTCCTGCTGCAGAGGACTAGAAATATTGACAACTTGACTGGGCAATATGTTTTTCTTCTGGGGTAATTTATTTACCAGATTCTTATTATTATATCTGACTCGAAATGACATTTTGTTATATTAACAATCTTGAGTATGCTTACATGTACAATTCATATACTGAACTGAGGCCCTATTTGACACCCATTTTTATCTAATTCTCATTCTCATTTTTCTCTCTCTCTTAATTTCAACCACATATTCTTCCAATAAAATAATATTACACACAAATCTAAAACTTTTCATAACTTTTCCACCACATAATCTCCCATAAATTACTATTTCAAAAATTTCATTCTCCAAAAAATGGGTTTCAAACACCCTCTGAATCTTATGACTGTTAAATTTAACATCTGGTTGCTATTTCCTCTGCGGGCCTTGCTTGATGAATTTACACGAGTATAAGCCGAGGATATTGGCATTTTAATCTGGCTTTAAAAAATCATTATCTGTTATCTGTCTGTGTTTATTCTTTCTGTGACCTTATGGCCTACAAATGCATTTTCTCCTAGTATTCCTTCGGTAAGGGCATGGTTTACTCAAGATTCACTATTTTTCAGCATTCATTCTATCACTGAAACAAATTGTTGCTAAGAGTTTTTGTACTCGGTTCATGGATGAATTAAAGGAACTTGGTTTCTGAGAAGATGAAAGAGAGATACTGAAGCATGGGGTGGTAACATTATTCTTGATGCTTATGGGGCTCTTTGCCTTCAGAAATACTAGATGAAAAATGATATTTGGTAACTAAATGTGGAGATCCATGAAACATGGGCTTGATGAGGTAAAATTAATGGGCAAAATGAAAAGAATGTCCATGGGAAAAGTTAGCTAAACGTCAAAGTCATTTCCGTAAATAATGAAAGTTTTGAAAGATGCTAAATATGAAGAAGGCCATATGGATTATGATCCAGGTTTTTTTGATGTATGAAGAGTAAGTAATTTGTTTTGGTGGGAGAAAAGGAAGAGAAGAAAAAGGTTTCACAAAGGCTTTATTCCTTGGAGTTGTCACTGACTCGTGTTCTGAAACAGAATTCATAATTTATCTGCTCTCTATAAAATTCTTTGATGAGTTAACCATTTGATGAGGTAAAATTAATGGGCAAAATGAAAGGAATGTCCATGGGAAAAGTTAGCTAAACGTCAAAGTCATTTCCGTAAATAATGAAAGTTTTGAAAGATGCTAAATATGAAGAAGGCCATATGGATTATGATCCACGTTTTTTTGATGTATGAAGAGTAAGTAATTTGTTTTGGTGGGAGAAAAGGAAGAGAAGAAAAAGGTTTCACAAAGGCTTTATTCTTTGGAGTTGTCACTGACTCGTGTTCTGAAACAGAATTCATAATTTATCTGCTCTCTGTAAAATTCTTTGATGAGTTAACCATTAGGCTTTATTCCTTGGAGTTGTCACTGACTCGTGTTCTGAAACAGAATTCATAATTTATCAGCTCTCTATAAAATTCTTTTATGAGTTAACCATTGTGAACTAATATGGTTTCTTGGCGATTGGTTCATTTCTTCATTTCCATCTCTGTTACATGCTTCCTTTCTTCCAGCAGAAGATGTGATCATGGGTCAGTTGATGAATTAGTTTAGAACTTTACATGCAAAATTAGATATCACCCAAAGAGAACAACTTCATGGGCACACCTAGTCATTCTTTAACCTTTTTATCTGCAAATTTTCTTTATGGTTAGGGAACAGAGTAATTTAGTATCTCCATCCTGACATTCTTTAGCTGGCTTTGACAGCAGTTATGAGCATCATGTGTATCATTAACAAAAGACTAATTCAGTATCTCATGGCCGATCCAGTCTACATCACTTGTTAACAAAATTGGTCGTGACATTACTTGCAGCTTCACTGTCAAATAATGAACTACCAATATTTGGTGTCAACATGCCCAGATTTGAGTCATTGGCTTTGGTTAAATGAATTATGAAACTCGAATTTATCTATCCTGCCTTTTCTTATCGCAGCGCGTACCGGTCATTATACATATTGAACTGGATTTATCGCTTCTTCACTGAGCCACACTATGTCCACTGGATTAGTATATCTCTCTCTCTCTCTCTGAATACATCATGTTTGATAATATCTTTTTGCAGCAGCTTGCATACTTTTGTATATATGCAAAATGAAAATATCACCTGCAGCAATTAAACTGACATCATACTTGTGCTCCTTCTGCGAATGCAGCTTGGATTTCAGGGCTTGTTCAGACACTGCTTTATGCTGATTTCTTTTATTATTACTTCCAAAGGTGAAATTCTCAAACATCGACACACATTTTATAAACTTTCCATTTTGATCTAGTAACCTAAAATCATTTTCATATCACTGTTGCAGCTGGAAGAATAATGTGAAGCTTCAGCTGCCTGCTTGAGGTCATAGCAAGAATTTTGATAAACCGCAGCATACATAGATATAAATTTATTGGGAGGCTGGTTGCATTTTGATAGTCTTTTTGTCTGTGGATTTTAGAAGAAGCATTTCTTTTATTCCCTACTAATTGGGGTTTACCAAATCACATGTAGCACCAAAAGAACTTGTGACTTATACTGACTCTATAACTTACCTTGAACAGTCTTTTATGTTGGGATTTTGTACTGGAGAAACATAGATAGCATTCAGGCAGAGAATGTGGTTAATTTAGCTTTTGAGCAAAGAAAGGTTGTGCGTATTACAAAATCATTGGATGGAAAGGCTGGTTCTTTACGCACATTTTTTGTGTGATGAACAGTGACCTCTCCCTGAGTGTCGCTACATTCTTAATTTCATTGAACGTTCGAATATATCAAATTATATAATTAATAAATATATAAAAAGAAAAATTTGCAACAAATTGTACATAAATAAGTTCAAAAACAATATATTGAAATTATATTGACAGTCAGGTCAGGGTCGGAGGAAATCAGGACGACAGGCACAACTAACTATATACACAATTGTGAAGGACCATATACAAGAAAGTACAACAATAAAGTGACAGCCCACAATTGGTACTGTTTGATTGCCAAAAAATGCTCAAGGAAGCACAGAAAGTTTCAAAGCTTCCTGGCCTCTGGTTGCCGTGTACAAATCTTCACCATCGAAGAGCAACAATAAGTTGAAAATCTTGTGGAATCATATTCTATTATTTTTGGAGTATCAATCTCCTTCAAACAATCTGAAAACACTTATCCTTTAAGATTATACAAACATGAGTAGAATTGATTCAAGAACATAATGATTATACGAGTCAATCAACTTCATAATGTATCCTTAAAACAAGTTTACTCCCTTCAATGTTGCTTTAGTATATTTAGGAATCATCTTTTAGGATATAACAAATTTTGTCTGTGATAGAAGCAGCACAACAATCGGTAAGAGTTCCAATGAACTCGACTTAGTGATTTTCTACTAGAAATACAAAAGCAGAACATCGAGAGCAAGAAAATTTAAAGCAAAAATTATTACACTTGAATGGTGTAATTTTTCTAACAGAAAAGCATGTTATTTATAGGGGAAGAATACATCATTATAAAGGTTTAAAGATACACTTCTACAAATAAGAATTTGTGAAAAAAAGTTTCAAAAATCAAGTGGTTACATTTGTGACCACATGATAACAGGTCCAAGGTCGTAATAACACAAAATTATAGTCACGGTCACAAATCGCATGAGGTTACAGTAAAAAAACACAAATTGTGAGTCAAAATTACAAATTTTGTCGCAATCACACATTTTTTTTTAGGTTACAAATTACATATTTTATCCATTATATGTTATTTATTTGTCACAAATTAACCATTTTATTGGTCACAATCATCCGAATAATTGGTCACAAACGCTCTTTGTCTCACCTAGCCTACTCTACCTCCATAGGCACCAACCAAAAGCCGCACCACATCATCACCACTGCCACAATCACCACCACCACCACAACCACCACCATTTGCAAACCATCAACAAAAATTACTCCAAAACTCCGGTGAGCAACGATCATTACTGAGTATGTGGTACAACAAAAACCACCCCAAATAGTACAACAAAAACCATCCCTTCGTCGTTGTGCATGGCGCTACTTCCTGCGCAACGGTGATGAGAGCTGTGTGCGTTGCTCCTACAGGCGGCTGTTGCGCTCATCATCGAAGAAATGACCGACAACTTGAGAATGAGAAAGTTTTGGAGCATTTTTATTTTTTTTTCCTTTTTTTAGGATAGAAAATAAATTGTGGTTGTAGGGCGGGTGGGGCAGATGTGGTATACCCGATTTTTTTAAAAAAATAAAGTTAAAATTTGATTTTGAATTGATAAGTTAAAAACTCGTTATGTGCAACTTCCTCTATATATAGATTGTTCGTGATCATTCGAAAAATATAAAAAGTAAGTCTTTTTAAAAATAGTGATGACTATTGAAACAAACATTGGTGTCTGTCGAGAAAAAGTGTTAAACCAAGAATGAGTTAATTTCACAAACAGTCACTGAAATTACCTGAAAATCACAAAACGGTCACTGAAAATTAAAACTTGTAGACACTGTTACTGAAGTTTAAATTTCTTTCACAAACGGTCACTGAATTTTAGATTTTTTGGGCAAGTTTTGCGACGGTTTTCCGACAACTTCCGACCACCAAGACCGCCGGATTTGGATACCGTTGGAAAGCCCACAATATCCTCTTCAATTATCACCAAAAATCTTCCCATAAATCCAATGGATTCGTCCGAAATTTACCCACAAAGTCCGCTACCGAAAAATCTGAAAATCTGCCGAGATTTTCAAATTTTTTTGTGCGAGTTTGCGGCAATTTTTCGACAACTTTCGATCACCAATACTGTTGGTTTCGAATACCGTTGGAAAGCCCAAAATGTTCTCTTCAATTACCACCAAAAATCTCTCCATAACTCCAAGGGATTCGGCCGGAATAAACCCACGAAATCAGCTACCAAAAAAATTTGAAAATCTGTCCAGTTTGAGTAGCTGACTTCGTGGGTTTATTCCGACCGAATCCATTAGAGTTATGGGGAGATTTTTCATGGTAATTGAAGATGACATTGTGGGCTTTCCAACGGTATCTGAAATCGGGAGTATTGGTGGTCAGAAGTTGCCGTAAACTCACCCAAAAAATCTAAAAATCTGGGCAGATTTTCAGATTTTTCGGTAGCCGACTTCGTGGGTATATTTCGGCCGAATCCCTTGGAGTTATGGGGAGATTTCTGGTAGTAACTGAAGAGGACATTGTGGGCTTTCCAACGGTATCCAAATTCGGTGGTCTTGGTGATCGGAAGTTGTCGGAAAATCGCCGCAAAATTTGCCCAAAAAATCTGAAAATTCATTGACCGTTTGTATAAGAAATTTAAACTTCACTGGCCGTTTCAGCAAATTTTAAACTTCGGTGACCGTTTTATGATTTTCAAGTAACTTTACTAACCACTTGTGAAATTAATCCGTGATCAGATATGGTATACCCAATTGTGGTTGTAGGGCAGGTGGGGCAGATATGGTATACCCAATTTTTTTAAAAAGATAAAGTTAAAATCTGATTTTGAATTGATAAGTTAAAAACTCGTTATGTGTAACTTCCTCAATATATAGATTGCTCATGATCATTCGAAAAATCTAAAAAGTAAAAGTCTTTTTAAAAACAGTGATAATAATAGATTTTGTAAAAAGTAAAATTTTTAAAAATATGTGGTTGAAAGTAAGAAAATATTATGGATTCACATTTAAAATTATTTTATTAGAAGAATATAAAATATAAAGGAAAAAAACTTTTAAAAGTGCGTTTGATTGTCAATATTTTCTATGGAAAATGTGTTTTTCCATCAAAATTTTTACTTTCGTGTTGTTTGATTGATATTTTTTTCCATGAAAAACATTTTCCTACTTTTTGTCAAATGATCATATTTTTCTCAAAATCAAGGAAAATATTTTTTTTAGGGGAAATATGATTTTATTTTTCAGGGAATTCACTATTTCTTTCTCTCTCTTATCTATTCACTCTCTCTCATCTATCCACCAATAAAAAATGGACAAGTATAATATTTTCTAGGTTGAAAACTAAATCAATCAAATACATTTAATTAATAATTTTCATACAGCATCACTCAATTCAGTCTGCTCGAATTTACACTACCTCTGCCTCTCCTTACGTATTAGTTGATTAAAGGTCCGGTTATTAATCAATCCTTTTGGTTGAACAATTTAAAGATCTGTCACCTAAATTTAACTCACCAAAAGCTTAAAGATCTAAAGAGGTAATGGCTGAACCAAGCAAAAAAATCAAATGTCATTTTTTTAAAAAAAACATCCAAAACACCCTAAATTAGCAATGAACAAGTCAACCTAATTTCTTAGCGTCGCACCAAATCAATCAAGACAATTAAGCAATGAATTATGCACATCTTCAAAAGGATGACCGATGATGAGAAGAGAGTAGATACAAAAATTTATTAACTTGGAATCATTGTTTAGGAAATTTACTTAGCTATCCATTAAATGCACCATACACGTACAAGAACTCATCTGAAAGCTCAAGAACCTATGAAATTGCATTGTGATAACAAGGCTGCTGATAAGTGTAAAGCATGCCGTCTAGTGCATACCACAATTAGATAAACAGTCAGGTTTGGGCCAGAGAAAAGCAGGATGACATAGCCCAACTATATACCCACAAATGTACACAATCATAAAAGCTAAATGTACAAAAAATACAACCATAAAGTGACCACCCGCATTTGGCACTGTTTGATTGCCAGAAATGCTTCAGGCTGTCGTACTAAGGAGAGAGTTTAAAAGCTTCCTCGCCTGTGGGTGCCTAGAGCAAATCTTCAACATAGAGAGTAACAAGTCGAAGAAGATCTTGTGGAATCATATTCAATATTTGACGATAAACAAAATCCAAGCAGGGTTTAGGAAATGATTGAAGACTCCTGTTTTGACCATTGTCAATTTATTACCTGATAAAACAATGAGGGCAATCCTGAAAGTATCACCTTTGTCAACTGCAAATTGCTACTCTTTTACTGATATAGCAAACCAGTCTGTAGTGGATTTGGTTGATTTAACTTCTATGTATTCTTTACTCTCCTCTTCACCTCCTATGACTATGTCATCCGGCAGGCCAGTCTTGTCAACCTCGTTAACCCACTTCACCGAAGTCTTACCAGCTTTTCCCACAAAGTATTTGAAAGCTACCAGTTCTCCTATTCTGCCTGTCAACAATGCCTGCTGTGCCAAAAGAAGGTTGCACTCTCACACAAGAATTCAATCCATCTACAGAATCAAGTTCCACGATCATTATCAGGTGAGAAAATGTTGCTGACAGGGTCAGATAGATATCCTGGAGCTTCCGCTTCTAGTGAACTTGCATCTAGCGGGCTCCAGGTTGCTTGTGTCTGCGACTGATTTTCATAGGCAAATTTAAAACAAGGTGCAGTTTTCCAACCAATAGGCGTCCAATACGAGTTGATCCCAGTTTTTTTCCTAAACTCAATGGAATTTGTCTCATCATTTGTGGGGAACCCATGAAGCTGCATTAATGTTTCATCATTCTCAGCTGAATTGTGACAGTCGAAAGGGACCACGCAGGCTCTTCAACTGGGAGTTTTGGAACCTTCAGGCTATTCAGAATAAAAAATTCCATTTGTTCTAAAGTGGAACCAGATTCTGCCATGATTGCAATCTTGCGAAGAAAATTTGCCATGTGTACTTCTGGATTTCCACCATATAGTAGACAAGAAAGTTCCATGAAAAGCGACTGATAATCTGTTTCCCGAGCAGCATACAAGACGTGTTATACAAACTTAAGAACAAAAGAATTACAGATCTAAACTCGAAATCCCTATTACAAATGTTTATCTCCTAATAGACCACTGAACATCAAGATATCACAGAATGATGGCTCAGAACATTGTACCCATAAGACAACATCGTGAAGCCCAGATCCACCCAAGATCCCTCACGATCCTCAGTAAAACGTGAAGTTTCTTCTATGAGCCAGAAGAACTTAACGCTACCAACAACATACCTTTCTAATACTTGATTTCACACAGAAATCACACTCAAGAAACAGATTCAAGAGATCCTCACAGAAGAAGAAGATGCAAGGTGAGAGAACACAGAAGTCTCCAGAATCCCTCGAAGAAGAAGAAGAAGAAAGAAAGAATGAATTAACTCAAAAAACCATTCACTTCCAAAATATCAAGGCATCGAGATTGGTAGCAGCCCATCCAACGGCTCAGAGAAACTAGCACTTTCAACAAATAAGGAACAACTAAAAAGGCTTCAGCCAAACACGTTTTCACCTTTCTTGATTGGGCCGAACGCCATATCATCATTGCCTTAAGTGGGCTAGACTGACATCACAGCCACACAAGATGTGAAGAGGATTATTGGTCTGCTTAAAAAAAGATTTGCATATATGAGGTATCAACCATACCACGACATTAAGACACAAGCAAGAATGGTCCTTGCTTGTCGTGCTATTCACAACTTCTTAAGAATTTATGACGCATAGGATCTTTGTGATAAGGACTAATATAGTAGCGATGATGAGGTTAACCCTGAACATGTTGATGCACTCGAAGATGACACACCAAATGCTCCTATATCTGTTAGAGCAGAAGCTGCATGGTCTAGTAATAGGGATACAATGGTTGATAACATGTGAGCCGCTTACCATCTAAATCATGATATGGGGATTGATTTCAATTGATTCTACTATGTTGAATTTCATTATTTGTGTTTCCGTGTAATGTTGAAGATAAACTTGCAAGTGTTTTTATCTCCTACTAAGGTTTCTTCTATACTTGTTCTGTATTAACATTGTCTTCGATACTTGTTTTGTTGTAATGTTTTCTTATTTCCAAGGTTATCTACATTTGCATCTATGATATAGTTTCAAATCTATTTGCCTGATTTATATCATTGTTAGATTGTTTTCAAGCAATAATATTGTCCTTTCTAATTATGCTAATATTGACATTTTTCTATTTTCAACTGACAGCGTTGATGGCACAGAATCGATGAAACTCTACGAGCCCTTTTTGAGTTCCCAGACCGACCACCCCTTTGGGCGGGAATAACATTGATTTTGCTGGATTGCAAGTGGAACCTAATGCTAGGACTCATCACATACATTGGAGTGATGAAATGAATGGTTTTATGATCACTTCACTTGTTGAACAAGTTTTGACTGGGCATAAACGAAGTAACAATGGCTTTACTTCGTTTCTAGTGTCTAAGGCAATTGACAGTGTTCTCAATGGATACAGAGTCATGGTCTCAGATAAGAATGTCAGGGCAAGGTTGAAGACTTTTAAAAAAGAGCATGTTGAAGTTCGCCAATTGCTAAATAGAGCGGTTTTGGAATAGATCCCGAAACTGGACGCATTGTAGCGGATGCTGTTGCTTGGGACGATTTTATTAAGGTACGAATTAGGACTCATTTTCGACATTGCTACTAATAGCTACTGGAAATATAGATGTTTTGGGAGAGTTACAATACACTTACAAGGTTATTTGCAGGGAAAGCTAGAATTTGGGAAGTAGATGACCAAACTTTGTCTAAGATATGATAAGATGGAGACTATATTTAGCAATGATGCTGGCATCGGAGATCATGCAATGTCTGGTTTCGACCATTTATCCCCAATGAATGGTATGCAATATATGGCTATTCAGAATAAAAAATTCCATATGTTCTAAAGTGGAACCAGATTCTGCCATGATTGCAATCATGTGAAGAAAATTTGCCATGTGTACTTCTGGATTTCCACCATATAGTAGACGAGAAAGTTCCATGAAAAGAGACTGATAATCTGTTCCCCGAGCAGCATACAAGACGTGTTATACAAACTTAAGAACAAAAGAATTACAGATCTAAACTCGAAAACCCTATTACAAATGTTTATCTCCTAATAGACCACTGAACATCAAGATATCACAGAATGATGGCTCAGAACATTGTACCCATAAGATTCAAAATCGTGAAGCCCAGATCCACCCAAGATCCCTCACGATCCTCAGTAAAACGTGAAGTTTCATCTATGAGCCAGAAGAACTTAACGCTACCAACAACACACCTTTCTAATACTTGATTTCACACAAAAATCACACTCAAGAAACAGATTTAAGAGATCCTCACAGAAGAAGAAGATGAAAGGTGAGAGAACACAGAAGTCTCCAGAATCCCTCGAAGAAGAAGAAGAAAGAATGAATGAATTAACTCAAAAAACCATTCACTTCCAAAATATCAAGGTATTGAGATTGGTAGCAGCCCATCCAACGGCTCAGAGAAACTAGCACTTTCAACAAATAAGGAACAACTAAAAAGGCTTCAGTTAAACACATTTTCACCTTACTTGGACCGAGTATTGGGCTTTGGTTTCACTGGGCTTACTTCAACTAATTAAAGGGTATTTAGATTGGACCGAAAGCCATATCATCATTGCCTTAAGTGGGCTAGACTGGCATCACAGCCACACAAGATGTGGAGAGAATTATTGGTCTACTTAAAAAAAGATTCGCATATATGAGGTATCAACCATACCACGACATTGAGACACATGCAAGAATTGTCCTTGTTTGTTGTGCTATTCACAACTTCTTAAGAATTTATGACGCATAGGATCTTTGTGACAAGGACTATTATAATAGCGATGATGAGGTTAACCCTGAACATGTTGATGCACTCGAAGATGACACACCAAATGCTCCTATATCTTTAAGAGTAGAAGCTGCATGGTCTAGTAATAGGGATACAATGGATGATGACATGTGAGCCGCTTACCATCTAAATCATGATACGGGAATTGATTTCAATTGATTCTACTATGTTGTATTTCATTATTTGTGTTTCCCTGTAATGTTTGGAGATAAACTTGCAAGTGTTTTTGTCTCCTACTAAGGTTTCTTCTATAATTGTTCTGTAGTAACATTGTCTTCGATACTTGTTTAGTTGTAATGTTTTCTTATTTCCAAGGTTATCTACATTTGCATCTATGATATAGTTTCAAATCTATTTGCCTAATCTATATCATTGTTAGATTGTTTTCAAGCAATAATATTGTCCCTTCTAATTATGCTAATATTGACATTTTTCTATTTTCAAGTGACAGCGTTGATGGCACAGAATCGATGAAACTCTACGGGCCCTTTTCGAGTTCCCAGACCGACCACCCCTTTGGGCGGGAATGACATTGATTTTGGTAGATTGCAAGTGGATCCTAATGCTAAGACTCATCACATACGTTGGAGTGATGAAATGAATGATTTTATGATCACTTCACTTGTTGAACAAGTGTTGACTGGGCATAAACGAAGTGACAATGACTTTACTTCGTTTCTAGTGTCTAAGGCAATTGACAGTGTTCTCAATGGATACAGAGTCATGGTCTCAGATAAGAATGTAAGGGCAAGGTTGAAGACTTTTAAAAAAGAGCATGTTGATGTTCGCCAATTGCTAAATAGAACGGTTTTGGAATAGATCCCGAAACTGGACGCATTGTAGCTGATGCTGTTGCTTGGGACGATTTTATTAAGGTACGAATTAGGACGCATTTTTGACATTGCTACTAATAGCTACTGGAAATATAGATGTTTTGGGAGAGTTACAATACACTCACAAGGTTATTTTGCAGGGAAAGCTAGAATTTGGGAAGTAGATGACCAAACTTTGTCCAAGATATGATAAGATGGAAACTATATTTAGTAATGATGACGGCACCGGAGATCGTGCAATGTCTGGTTTCGACCATTCCTCCCCAATGAATGGTATGCAATATATTTTACAGTACGATACTTTGATTGTATTCATTAGTAATGATGACGGCACCGGAGATCGTGCAATGTCTGGTTTCGACCATTCCTCCCCAATGAATTGTATGCAATATATTTCACAGTACGATACTTTGATTGTATTCATGTATAAACTTCTAACAAGTTGTTATGTCTTTTATGTAGTAACTGGTGAAAGTGTGAATGAGGTAGATATGGAAAATGTGGAGATTGATCCTAGCCCAGTTCATGCTCGTAAGCATACCGCCGAATAAGGGACCAACAATGCCAAGCGTCGATGTGCATAACCGGTGGATGAGAGTACTGTCGCCATTCTACAAAAATTGCTCAAGCTATGGAAATGCAAGCTACGCTAGATACACTGAATCATGTCTACTGGCAGTTGATTCTAGAGAAGCTATAGGCCATGAACCTGGACATGGACGACATCATGCAAGTCATGAAAGCCTTTCGATCCGATGACGGTTTGGCTAAGGTATTTATAAACTTGACGAGTACAAAATACATGCATGTTTTGGTGTTTAACAAGCTTGATCGTGATCGTCCTCCACTACCTTAGATTGCACATGACTTATGGTGTTGGTGTGTATTAACTTGTATGTATTTGGAAAACTTAATCTACATAAGTAATACTTCGAATGTTTTTTGTAATGCACAAACGTAACAACTAGTGTGCCATGTTTTGTAACATATGGTGTGGATGTTTTTTGTCAATTATGTATGTGAAAAACACTTGTCTACCTAATTTCTCTTCAGTTCACCTACCAGTGAAAAATATGTATCTGTCAAAGGAGAAAAACATTGTTTTTGCATTTTCTATACACAAATCAATTCTTATCGCAAACATTGTTTTTCTTAACACTATTCAATTTTAAATCATTCTTTCATATTCTTTGCATTGGTTGCTGTTTATTTGAAGATTAGGAAAATTCTTACAAATGGATATCAAAC